AAATGGAACAAAAATAGAATAAAAACTGCCAGTTGTGGGATTAATCAGTTTTCAATGCATTGTAGGTCAATGGAGATTCGACCTACAGACTCTTTGATTTACAGCCATCGTTCCAATACCTATTAATTCCTTAAGTAGAGGGTCCACTGTATAGGACTGAAACTGCCCTCCAGGCTCAGTGTCTTCTATAGACTAGATTTGAATACTGTTTTACAGAGCAGTTATGTGTTGCGAAAGAAAGGCCAATAAGGCTTCTACAAAGCTTGAAATACTGCTTTTTGTTACTAGCGGGGTGCAGTGGCTTAATGTTGAGCTTGATACACCAGCGACTGCTGGTAACAAATGAAAAGAGGCAGGGAGGGAGCCTACTATTTAGTAACTGGAAAATCCATTTGAGAATAGTACAGAAGGAAAGGATCAGTAAACTTGGCCATAGGACCCAAATTTGGTTACCGAAGAAATGTCAAGGTGGGAGAACGTGCCTGTGCTATCTGTCTGCGTATCCTGTCCCCTGCACCTCTGGTTCATATCCCATGCTGCAAGCATTGATATTCCTCTCCAGTAGATTTTTCAGTACCGCAGTTCTATGGCTCAGAATTGTGATAGACTTGCTTAAAGCAAATATGGGCAGTCCTAGCAGCTTTGTGATAAATATAATCCAGGTGCTGTAATAAATCATAACTCTTGTTTTGATATTTGAGAATTCAGAATTAGCAAAATCGGGGTGGAAAGGAGAGAACTAGGATTCACTACCTTCTTTTCCAGGTTTACAGGAGTAGGTGAGACTTGGTACGATACATTACTGCGTTGGTAGGAGGGCATAACATCAAAAGGCAATTTAAATTATTGTTATTTCTATCACTTGGTAGAGAGCAAGAGAGAGAGAGAGAGAGAGGAATGAATTGTCTGCGGGATGAAAACAGCAAGCATTTTGCCAGAGCTTTATTGGAGTCAAGCCATATACTTTGAGAATTAAACCTGAGGATGAAATGGGAAAGCTTTCTTGAAAATGATGTGCAAGTGTAAAAAGGGAAGTCAAGGGCAAAGAAAGCACCAGAGGGGAAGGCTCTCCACACAACAGCAGAGAAATACAAAGAGTAAACCCCATTAGGATATTTTAAAACCTTACTTTTTCACCTCCTATTGCTATGAAGGAAGCATTATATTGAGTTCACCAAATGAAACTACTGTACCAGGGTTTCTTTTTAAATTTTTGTTGCATGTTAAAGAAAAGAGATAAAGGAAAGTGCAGAAGCTATTTTGATAGTTCCCCCCTTGAAAATTTTAGATTCTTCCTCATAATTTGTTTAGTAATGAGTTAATTATTCAATATACAGAAATGCATAAGCAGCAGGGGTTGCAGCATGATTTAAATGCTTAATGCAGCCTAAAAAGAATAGAACAAAGCGTGTCTAGTACTGTCATCCATGTCAGGTTAACATACATTTTGTTAAGTCACAAGGGTGTTCTGTTTTGCAAATGTGTGAGCATATATGTAGAATGCTATTGTTGGTTTGTTTTATACTGAAACCTAAACAATGAAATGTATGCACAATTAAATCTTGTAAATAACATTTCAGCTTTATGCTAGAGAAGTAGGAGGGGATCTGTAATTAAGACTGTTGTATTCTTTAAGTGTTTTAGTTGTTGAGATAAGGTTTCCATTGTGTGTTTAAAGCCTAGAAATCATACAAGTTAGCAGTAGAGGACTTTACTGTTCGTACTTTCTATATTACATATTGCAACTCTTTCCCCCCGCAAATTGCTTTATATGTCGGATTAAGGAGACAAGAGTTCTTCAGCTACATATATATTGATTACTTTAAAAAGTGTTTCATATTTAGTTTTTAAGAGAGGTCCCTGACAAAATAATCTTTGTGCACATGATCCTAGCTGGCAGGGATGGTCCTGCACAGTAGGTATGGTCTGCCACAGTCTTCCAGACCAAATGAATGTTTAACAGTATTTTAATAATTAAACTACTGCTTTCCTTTGTTTTTACAGCTGGATCACATGGCCGCTGTCTAATAGGATGTGTGTTATTAGTTCTGCTTCTCCACCACAGTTTTGAGCCTATCATATTTTACTGTTTGGGCTCAGAGGCATGAATGTTATGGCATCTTTTAATTTCCCTGAGAGGGCAATTGTGATGCTCCTGGAAGCTCATGAATATAATGTTGTTGTCTTGGTGAAAAACATTTCATTGTTGAAGTCTGTATCTGTTTCGTTGAATCACAGCAGGCAGCAAGTTAATACTGTATGGTCAGATGTGCCACTAAAAAAAAAGGAAAATACAGAAACTAAATGAAAGTCTGTTAATGCTTCTCTTAATTTAGTGGCTTGATCTGCTTGCATGGAAAATCCTGGTTTCAATGGAATTTTTACGGTGTCTTTAGTATATTAGGAATACTAACAATACTGTTAATATTAGGCTATATGTCAAATTAAAATCTGCTTTGCATGGTTGAGAGTGTACAAATTACTATAAAAATAGTAATATTTTACTAGAATATAAATGAAAATGGCTTGTGCTAACAAGATCTCTTAAAAATTATGTTTTCAAAAATTAGAATCTAAACAATGTATTGATTGGACAGAGATATTCATATTTTTCTGTCAGCTATCTAAATGAACATTTTTATTTTAGTCATGCTAAATCTCACCTGAACATCCCTCCCCCTTCTTTTTTAGGCACTGGATGTTGACCGAACTGTTCTTTATAAAATGAAGAAATCTGTAAAAGCCATAAATATTTCTGGTCTGGGTAAGTCTACTTATTGATAGTCTGTGTTGCTTAATATCATGCATTTACATAAGAATAAGCTTTTGAAGCATCTATTAGCAATATTGCATGAAGTTTTATACAGATGCCTACTGCTTGATGTAATTTTGATTTCCACAAAAAAATTATTTGCTTGTTTGTCTCTTTGTTTATTTATTTCAGCTTGTACACCACCCCATTGTACACACACTCTCTGCATGGTTCACAACCAAGGTTCCCTCTAAAATATCTGTCTGGACGAGCACGGCTCTGCCCCTCTCTGCACAGGGCTCTCCTCTGCACACCCACAGCAGTCGTTTTCAGCCCCTTTCGTTCTGGTCACGATAGAACCCCGTCTGTTTCGGTGTGTGTGTGAGAAATTGTGCATGCCCAGGGCAAAGTTGCACATGCGAGGCGCACAGCATTAGAGGGAATGTGGTTCGCAACACATTAAAGTCACATAAAATAAGAAAAATAAAAATATCATACCATAAAAACCATAAATAGATAACCCCTGTCCCTAGCTAAAACCTCATTTATTAATTAATTATTAATTAGTAAACTAGCTCATGGAAAAGCAGTTTCCTTCTCCATCTTTTTGTAGCATTTTTCCTTCCTAATGTCGATCATGGTTTCTAATTAATGTAAACAGTATCGGACATAGTCCGTGTTTCGCTATTAAGACAGGAAAGGAAAATAATTTATTGCTGTGATTTGACAAATAATAATTTTGCATTGGTGCACAAGCAAGAGGAAACTGTGGTTAGTATCAGGAAGGAAAAGAAGAAAGTTCACAGGGAGAAAGTAAGAAGAAGTAGCCTCTTGCACATGTAACATTAAAGTATAATTTAGCATTAATCATGGGCTTTTTATAATTCTAGGGCCTCCCGTCCCAGAAGTCACCTAGAATGCCCCAGGCAGGCTTCTGGGACTTGGAGAGGAGAAACCAGAACGCAAAAAAAACCCACATGTATTTCTAGTTCTATATTGTACTTCTTCCTTTTATGTGAATTGTCTGGGAAGCAGAAGGGAACCTGACCAAGGAAAGATGACCAAGGTGGGGTGAGGGTACTTGTAAGGGAGACTCAGCAGCCCCCCCCCCCCAATTTTCAGTTTCATGACAAATGGGTGCTTGGAACATGATATCTGCCTCATAATTACTGAGTTAACAGGTGACCAGGGGTTTAAAGAACACCAGCTAGCAGCACTTGGAGAGACCAGTGCTTTTCTTGGGTAGCCACAACTAGACAGCACAGACTTTGCTGAGCTAAAAATTTCCAGTGGCCTCACTTAGTCACTTTGAAATCCTTGAATTCGCAGTATTGGTGAATCGGAGATACATAATGTATTGCTAGACTCCTTCCTTCCCCCTCCTTTCTTGTATGTGGATTCCCTTCACCATTTCCTCATTTTATTAGACATAGCTTCCCATGGTGTCTGGATAGCACAAACCATGGTGGGACTTAAGGAGGCAAGTATTTCCAAAACATCCTCCAAAACTACCTTTTACCACAATTTCTCATGAAGTGTAAGCAAAAATCAGTTACAGTTTTCCTAGTTTGGATATCATAGCCAAATATTCATTAGGCACTACCAGATAATGGAGACAGGAATGGGCATGTATGAGATTGATATGTTTCTGCTCATAAGAGCATCATCTGCGCTGAACTTGTCTGAAGCAGTTGATAGGAATCAAATAACATATTACATATTCTTCTTTTTAATTTGCATTAGAAAGCAAAACATACTACTTATATACTGCCCCACAGTACTTAAAACACTCTCTGGGAGGTTTACAGTTTAATTATGCAGGCTACATATTGACCTGCCTAGCAAGCTGGGTACTCAGTTTAGCAACCTCAGAAGGATGGCAGGCTGAGTCAACCTCCAGCCAGCTACCTGAGCTCATTGAGATTGAACTCAGGTTCGGAGCAGAGTATTGACTGAAATACTGCAGTTTAACCACTGGACGATGAGGTTCAGAAACAGTCCAGTGGTACTTCTGGGAGGGAGGGAGGGAGGGAGGGAGGGATGGATGGATGGATGGATGGATGGATGGATGGATGGATGGATGGATGGTTGTACAAATAGCAGCATAAAAGAAGACAACATCATAACCAAGCCTCTATAATAGGTAAACAAGTCATATGAAAGAGAAAGGCCACTAGAATCTCAATTAAGAAAGCATGTCCTGTTGTGGCTAACATATTATATACTTTTTCTTTCTTTGTGGCAGAAGATAGATAGATAGATAGTCATCTGACAGGGTGCTGTTGTTGCCCAATTTGCAGAAGAATGAAGAAGTGCCCTTTGGGGCAAACATCAGCCAAATTGAGATGATTTCCCTATAGAAAAGTAGCGTGGGTCCTGATCCACATGTGGTACACATTCTAGGTTAGGGTCCCACCACTGTGATTTCTCAGGAATAAAAGCACCTGGATTTAAACACATGACTAGTGGGACATCTGGTTCATCCTTTGAGTAGAAACAGAAAGAAGTATAGTTGTTTTACATGTTTGCATGAATGAATCATGAAAAAGAATAACCCACTACTGTTCCCCATGGGTAGTCTGTTGGCTGGTTGTAAGAGGGTTGCTGAGTAACAATCTTATATGATTGTTTGGTGGCCTTTTGCTTTGGGAAAGGATAACTTCTCTTGGACTTACCAAAGTATTTCTTTTGAAAATTGTGTAGTGTAGCCTGCCCCCATGGATCCTGTTTGGAGTTGGTATTACTTGTATCTTTGGATTGTTTAGTTCTCCTTTTCTATAGTTCATTCAGACTGTTTACCTTTTCTCATGCATGCCTTGCCTTGATATTTTTTGTTCCTGATTCTTATAGCTAGCGTGCACACTGACATAAGAATGCAACCATTCTCCCTTATTCATTTTGGTGGAGAGTGGCAATTGTCACTAAAAAAAGGGCAAAGCTTTGGTTGACAGGCCGCAAGGATACAGTTTCATGCACACACCAGGGTGCTTCGAAAACTACTTCATGTTTTCATGAGAAATATTTCTCAGTCCCCTTAAAAAAAAACCTTAAATAAGGCAATTATTTTTTGAAAAATTTAAAAATAATATTTTAAAAAAGCTTTATGTGACTTTAATCATTGTAAATTTACCAGTTTCTGTGAAATTTCTTAAATGTATAAGCAGTTTAGAGGTATATGTGCCTTTTCTTTCAAAACTGATTATTTGATTTCAGTGGTGCCAAAGAATTAACGGTTGAGTGGTTTTGTTGATGTGAACTGCTTGCTCAATTTGAATCTGTTTAAGCTTTTCATGTCTGTTAATGCTATCTTTAATGCCCTTGCATTGTTTTCTCATCTGTTACACATTGTTGATTGTCTAGCATATGGCTTTAGAACGTTTAAAATAGATATATAAATTTAAAACCAAATGTGTTCAAATGCACTTAGAAAATAACTGTAAGGCTGATTCTCCTTCCTCTTTAGCAGAGCCACGATTGCTAGTTATTGGAAGTAACATAATATTTGTTCTCTTTGAAGCTCATGTGGAAAATGAAGAACAGTACACTCAAGCTTTGGAGAAATTTGGAGGAAACTGCGTCTGTAGGGATGATCCGGACTTAGGAACAGCGTTTTTAAAATTTTCTGTATTTACAAAGGAGTTGACGGCACTCTTCAAAAACTTGGTAGGAAACAAATTTAGTCCTCCCTTAAAACATTTCATACAGAATTGAAATTGAATGGTGTGGCTTTAGCTTTCAGCTGAAATAAATTTGTCTTTAATACTTGATTACATGCAAAGTCCAGGTCTTTGGATAGACATTAAGCTTAGCTGTCTTACTAATTTTGCAGTGCCCTCTGGTAACATCTAAGGAAGTGCATTAGAATACAATTTGGCTTATTGTGTTTTTTGGAGAAAAAGCAGATAGCTGTATCTGAGGCTTAGCTAACAGAGCTTTACGTCAAAAATGTGAATGTCTGCACTTGAAATCTGATCCCTGTAAGGAAGTGTTTTATGTGTGCATGCAATGGATGTTGTAAATGGTTGTAAAGACAACTTTCTCTGACTCTAACAAGGAGAGATTTCCAGTCTCTTATAATTAGTTTCTTTCGAAACCCTTTATAATAATAATTGCTGTCCTCTGACTGAATTCTCTCATGGGGGTTGGAAATGAAAGTGAGGGAAGGATGAGCCAATTTGACTTCGCTCCACATTGTATCACTGCACAGTTCTGTTGAACTTTGTCCATGGTATTTTCATTGAAGGTTAATAGATCACAGGGGCATTAATTGTGCTGCTCAGAGGCCCCCATCCTTTTCAAATGTTATGGCAGTTAAGTAACTTTCTATGGTGAATAAAGCAGCATTTCCCCCAGTGTGACTCTATAATGTCTAATTTGACCAATGGCTGAAGAATCTTCTTTCCCATTAACATCCCCAACTCTGCCTGACCCTCCCCTTCGACGAGGCTCCTCCAAGGTGGCCACCCTGAGAGAGGTCCAAAAGTCTTCCATTAGAGGCAGAGCCTTCTCTGCAGTGGCCCCAATGTTGTGGAATCAGCGTCTGGAGGAGCTCCCTCCCTTGTGATATGTAGAGGAAAAGACCTTGATTTTTAGAGAGGCCTTTCATACCAACCCAGGTTGATATTTTGTTCATCTCCTGTCCTGCTTCTTGTTTTGATGCCATCAGATTTTTATACTGTTAAGTGTTTTAAGTGACCTGGTTTTAGCCTGCTGTTAAACCACCCAGAATATTGCTGTAGCATTAATAGGGCAGTATATTAAACAAACAAACAAACAAATAAACAATATACAGTAGCACATCTGTCATAGTGCCAACTCAACATCCCTGTGTAGCTGAACCAGCATGGAAGTGCATTGGCACACACTATATGCTAATCTGCAGGCATTGCAAGCCCTTTGGGTGTTGCCATTGCTGTAACATGTCACGTTATGGCTGTATGACTCCAGCATCAATTGAAGAATGGCATGAAGGGAAGAACCATTTTAAATCGAGCACCACCAACCATGTTAGCATCACCTGAACTGCAGTTCATTTTAATGGATTCAGATCATATGCTGTGCTATCTATAGTTCATTGGGGCAATAGGTAAAAAGTGCAAATCAACCCTTTGCTCTTGGCAGAAGCTGTCAGGTATCCAATTTTAAGCTTTGAAAAAAAGTACTGCTTATTCATCGTTTTTATTAACATACTGCAAATTTAAATGTGACACAAAGCTTGATGTAAGGATCCATTTCAATGTCTAGTTTTGTCCAAGTGCACCTTCTATTTGTCCTCTTCCTGTGTCATGCAATAGATTTACTTAGTTCTTTTTGTGCAGTAATTAAGGCCATGGTCCTTTACACTTTTTGACTGTAAATTACTCCTGATTGAACATAGGCTGGTATTGTTACATTATGATAATCTTAAACAGATTTGGAACTTCTGGCTTTATAAATAATTAAGAATGACTCCTGGCTTTTACTTGTTTTATAGGCTCTGGTGCAAGGCCTTTTGTTGAACAATGTTTGAACCTTCCCCTTTTGTTTAAACAACCCTTCCATTGCTCTTTTTTGGTTTCTTGCATTAAATGAAGGTTTAAATGTAATTCTCTGTGCTTGTATGTGTGTGTTATCAACTTAAAAACAGATTCCCTGTCTCTCTCCCTGATTTTTTTTGAGAGGGAGTGAGTTGTTGTTATTTAGTCGTTAAGTCATGTCCGACTCTTCGTGGCCCCATGGACCAGAGCACGCCAGGCCCTCCCATCTTCCACTGCCTGCCAGAGTTGGGTCAAATTAATGTTGGTAGTTTCTATGACACTGTCCAGCAATCTCGTCCTCTGTTGTCCCCTTCTCCTCTTGCCTTCACACTTTCCCAACACCAGAGTCTTTTCCAGGGAGCCTTCTCTTCTCAGGAGCTGGTCAAAGTATTGGAGCCTCAGCTTCAGGATCTGTCCTTCCAGTGAGCACTCAGGGTTGATTTCCTTCAAAATGGATAGGTTTGTTCTCTTTGCAGTCCAGGGGACTCTCAAGAGTCTCCTCCAGCACCACAATTTCTGGAGAGAGAGAAAGAGACAGATAATTTCTGTGTTTGGTGTACCAGGCTATAACATTTCCCAATGCTTTCTCTGGATTAGAAAAGTCTCTGTGAAACCCATTTTATTGTTTGCTTTGATATTGATACAGAGGGGATTTTTATGGAGAAAGTAATTAAACACGTTCCTTGGCAGGAGAGAACATTGTTCCCTGCCAAAGCTTCTCTTCATTCACTTGGCACTGATCTTTGAACACAGTGATGTCAACTACCTCCAGCTTTATTTAGGACAAGTGTACGGTGACAGCCTCAGGTAACTTAAGGGCACACCTTGTTGCTGTAAGGAGGTACAAGACAGGTTCATTTAATGCTGATAAGTTATCTCTCAGCTATCCTATTATACAACCATAGCGGCCTGTTCATACCCACGTTGTGTGGTGCAGTACAGCAGAAAGCTGCAGCCTGGTGGTTAGAATTAATCACATGGTCATTCCCAAATAATTGGCCCTGCCTGTTTCAGTGGCCAGAATCTTATTGCTGATTTATGCTTGTGTAAGGAAGATTGTTTACATCTTAGAGGCAAATAGGGATGAGACTTGCAGAGTTTGAAGATCTTCAGTATTCATTCAGAATACCTCAGGTCAGTGGTTCCCAAACATTTTGGTCTCATGGCTCCCTTGATTTACTGACCATGGGTGCAGCTCCCCTTGCTCGGAGGGGCCATAGGGTTCTGTCTCCCACCAGGGGCAGGATTGCCCCAGCTATCCCATCTCTCCTTCTCCCCCCCCCCAATATCCCCGAAGGCCCATCTCCTTCTAGGTCCTAACACAGAAAGCTCACAAGGCCACCCAGCAAGCGTCTCCACCAGGGACCATAGAGATGGGGAAGGGAGAGGCAGGCATATGGCCTCTACTTCCTATTCCTGTTAAACATAGAGCTGTAATGCTATAGAGGAGCTGTTCATAGAGCTATAGATTTCATAGCTCTATATTCAATCCTGGGTTCACAGCACCTCCTGGAGCTGTGGCACACAGTTTGGGAACCCCTGTCCTAGGTAGTTAGAGCACAATGGGAGATTTGGCTATGGGAAGTTTCCCGACCGGCCCTTTAAGATGAGAGAAAGAAAAGTGTATTTTATTTTTGTATAAGTAGTGCAGCATATTTTCGCTGCTGAGAAGCAGAAGAAATGTTTAATTAACCGATGCCATGAGGTGGCTGTATTAAGCCAATTCATGATACAGTGGTGCCTCGCATTACGATGTTAATTCGTTCCAGCGAAATCACTGTAGAACGAAAACATCGTAAAGCGATTTTTAAAAGCCCCTAGAAACACATTAAAACCTGATTAAGACGTTCCTATGGGCTTGAAACTCACCGTCCAGCGAAGATCCTCCATAGCGTGGCCATTTTCGCTGCCCATGCAGCGAGGAATCCTTCCCAGAAAACAGTGGGTGGCCATTTTTTTACCCGGCGGCCATTTTGAAACCTCCGATCAGCTGTGCGAAAATCGTCATTTTGCGATAATCGGTTAGTGAAGCAGGGAACCGATCATCACAAAACAAAAAAAAACCCATAGGAAACATCGTTTTGCGATCGCAAAAACTTTGTCGTTATGCGATTTTGTCGTAAAACGAAGCGCTCGTCTTGCGAGGCACCACTGTATTGGCAAATAAAAAAGGGAATGCATTTTATTTGTTCCCAGCAGTCATAGAAACTGACTACATGTGCATTTAGCTCAATATTTGGTCCACCCTCCCAACATTCCTGCCTGCACCTTTCTGGCCCCTATCAAGGGCTCCCACTTTTTTCGTGTGTTTCCAGTACATGTGATCTCTGGGAATGAACTCAAGGCCTTCCTTTTTTGAGTTTCCAGCATCATGAAGTGGCTTAATAGAGCCAGTTCAGGATATTGGCTAATTAAACACATGTTCTGCTCCTTGACAGAACTCAGGGCGGCATAAATGGAGTGTCAAGGAAGCTTCTAAATCAGCTACCAATCAGACCCATGCCTGTTTAGTTCAGCACAGTGTCTGTGAGTAGGTGAGTGTCCCATTTCCAATGGTTTATCAAGATTTTGACAGTAGGGGAAAATATTTTTTAAGTTCCAGTTTTCTCTCATGTTGTTTCTTAAGAACACTTATTTTCTTTGGTTTTTCATTTTAACAAACTATTTAGATTGAGCTTCCTGTCTTGACAATAGTACTAGATTGAATTGCTGCTTATTGCCTGCAGATGGCATTTAGCTTTGTACTGCTGCAGTCTGTATTACGCTTGGACAACCGTTTCAAAAATCTTATCTGTAGTGCTTATGTAATTATAAAGAACACAACTAGTTATGCAAAGAATGATTATAGATTGTCATTGGTTGAAATGGGGGGGGGGGGACCATGTATCCAAAAAGTTTTCGTTGATCAACTTGAAATACTTACATTTAGCTTTTAGGATTTTTTCCCCTTTCTCAGTAAAGTCATCTTAAGATAAGCATCAGTAAATGTGTTAGAACTTTTTGCTGTCTTACAGGATGATTTAATCCTCCCTAAGATTGCAAAGGGACATGGTGGCGCTGTGGATTAAACCGCAGAAGCCTTTGTGCTGCAAGGTCAGAAGACCAGCAGTTGTAAAATCAAACCCATGCGATGGAGTGAGTTCCCGT